CTGGCGGTTTAGGCAGATATTTGTCCTTTTTTTCGCTTTTTTTTCTTCACAGGGCTGCGAGAATTAGAAAGCTGTAATACTGTATGTTACTTGTTGCAAATCACGTTCACGAAATCTATATATCTATACTAAAAGGCTGTACCCGTTGCAGGCACCTTATAGGTTACGGTACTGTATAGGTCGCTATTTCGAACCAAAAAATAGTAGACAGTCATGTCATGCTGATGCAATCAAGGGTACCGGTAGCCTACCGTATGTCACCACGGAAGAATTCGTCTTCGATACGATGTTGCATTTTTATTAAACAGAATCTATTAGTGAATTATTTTGGTAGACTAACTATGTGTAAACGCTGTGCATATGGTATTTGCTTGTCTGACAACCTTTACGGTACCCTTGCCGTTCAAATGGAGTAAGATTTGTGCCTTTTCCGAAGCCACATATTGACTGCCAAAAAGCAATGACGTGGATAAAGGAATGCAACAGGCCTCACAGTATATTCAATCTAGAAAAAATCACCAGAAATACCTTCGTGTGTACCAAGTTAGGCCAACATAAGTATTGTTTTCGATACCTATGATATATTTGAGGCGAACCTAATACAGAAAGAAACAAATTTGTATACTAGGCTTTTATAAGCTCAAACGTCGACTAAGAGTCTTAAAGCAGCACAAACCAAAGAATGACTTTCCATGCTACTAAAGGACGAACAGTATACGTCAGCAGGGTCAAATGTCGTGGCTGTTTTAGGCGTTGCTAGATTTCAATACATAAATCACCACATTCTCCCCAGCTGATGAAAGTAAGACAATAAAAGTATAATAATAACTCAAGTATAGAAACGTTAACATGAAATAAATGGATTCAAAAGTCGCCCAATTACGAGGCCCAGTCCCCTTTTGAAAACGGCTCAACCGACGAATAGGCATCTCTTCCTTCTTAATTGGAGTATAAGTTTTATCTGCTACTTCAACCAATGACATTAAACAACATGATAGGCAACTCTGACGTCACTCCATAAGACTACAGGCAAAACATTGTATTTCATGATACGCTCCAATGCACATATTTCTCGTCGCCTTTCGCGTCCGTTTTCCGCTCGCTTTTGCTACTCGGCGTCTTTTTTACGTGTAGTACCTGTTTTTTTGCGCCTGTAACGAAACAAAATAATCTCTATATCTAAGAAGTTTTGCTTACTTGGAAAGCTGGAATAACAGGCAAGCTGTAAAGAGCAATTCTGGACATCATGGACGTTTTTTTTTTATCAGAGAAGATTACAAACGCGATAGCGGAAAGATTTGTGTGGAACATTTTGCAGATAATGACAAAGTTAGTAATTTTAATGTTTGCGCTTAATCATTGAAATTTCATTTAAAGAGGGTGTCATACAAAACTGTGCTGCGATACAATTCCATAACACAAAGTTTGCACCTATCGAACTTGCTTTTGTAGGTCAATTTATTAGACATATTACATATTCAGTTAATCGTAGGTAACATTGCTGGTACATAATGCATCGTAGATAGGTTTGTTTAAATTTAGGAATTTAGCTCATAGCCCACTAATTAATATTATCTTCTATGCAGGAGGTTGCAGGGCTGAATTCAACTTGCAGCCTTACCGATCACCTGACGATGCTCATTTAGTTTGGCTCGAGCAAGTCTTCTTGAAATGCTTGTGTGGATGGAAACTACCTATATTTTTTGCCCTCCTCCGATTTTAGACAAATTTATTCTGAGGGATTTCGCATATAATTCTCACTGATTGTTGGCTGTTTATAATTCCTATTGATTGTGAATTCTGATTATAACAATGGGTTGAAAATTTTTTTACCTAATTTACTAGCACCTTTTTCTTGTCAATACTCCAAGCTGAGGTATTAAACATGACAATACATTTATGTCATCTGGAAGCAAAATATGCACACTAATTAATAGTTTGGCACATTGAGATAATACATCATGACAGAAAATACAAGTTAAAGATATGTATGACCATCACATGGTAATTAAAATTAAAAAAAATTAATAGGGGCTGTGGAGTATGGAAAGTTCAAGACAAAGAAAAGAACAAATGTTCATAGCTCATGAACTCTCAATTTTGCCTCCATTGCTTTGTGAAGGCCAATATATTTTGAGTGGCTGAATTGGTTTACCTTTATGATAGCAACGATTTTGTATTTAATATAGCGAGATTATTTCAATTTAATTGAAGTGATATAATTTCCCAAAGCAATGCTTGAATCGTCTAGAATAGATCAGTGGTGTCAAACTCATGGGTTTCGAGAGCCGCATTGCATTTTGAAAATTGTAAAAAGATCCGCAAACAGTTTTTGATAATGTATACTTAAAAGATATTTTTAAGATAGTTTTAGTTTGTGACATATATTGTGATGCAACTAAACAGTTGGATTAAGTTTTATTATTTTCTTCAATTTCAAATGCAATTACATATTAATATTTGCATTCCACCATTATTGCAACATTTGCAAGTTACAGTATTTATTATAAAAAATCGTAAAATTCTATGTACAACCATCAAAATCATTTTTGAACAAGCTTTGAATAAGGAAAGAATAATACATACACTAAAAATAACTTAATCTAAATATATGAACCTAAAATTAACAAAAATACTACAGTATAAACTCAATGTTTTAATAATTACATTTGTCCTGGCGTTTGGCATCTTTTTTGTGTCACCAGCATACTAAGGCCAGTCTGAAATGATTTTATAGTACCAACTCTAACTAACGAGGCCACATGATCATGGGTTTATCTGGATCTTTACGAATGTTTAATTAATTCCAGTAATGCAAAAAAGTTACTTTTATCATTTCATGTATAGATCAGTAAAAAAACAAATGACAGATTTTTTCGACAAGACATTTCGCACTACATTGCGTGGCATAGGATTGCTTGGAATTTGTCATATTGACTGCTGAGCTTATTGTGTTTTTTGATTTTATTGATGGAAATATGACAAATTAAACAATGTGCTTCAGAATTTTGTGAAGAGCAGAAATGTTACAACTCCCCATTTTCTTCGAAAATGCCACCTTCTTCATGTACTTTGCGTTTAATTTAATTACTCAAGTGTTTTATTCAAGTATTCTTTTGCTAGCTTGATGTGTATTCTTAATTGGGTCAAAATGTGGACAAAAAAAATTAATATTCCAAAACTACTTTCAGTAAATTGTTTTCTGTGTGAATAATCAATTTCACTTTAGAAGGTTTGAAAAATCTATTACATTTAGATAAAAAAAAAAAACTTCCAAAATACTATTACAAATATTGTTAAGCGTTCGAAGGCCGCACTGGAAGTTCTCTGGGGCCGCGAGTTTGAGATCCCTGGTCTAGATTGAAGTTGTTCAAAAAATATATGATAGTATTTTATCATGAATGATGATTATACCCCTTCCGGAATTTCTTCTATAGTACTACCAAAAGTTGATGAACCAAATATAACACAGGTGCAGTGAGGTACCCGTAATCCTCATTTCCAAAGCTGTTTTAAGTATGTCTGGCGTGTTTTGTGCCTTTTTACAAATAAGACCGCTTATGCAATCTTACGCTTTGGAATTTTTAGTTATTTTCCTCAAGCCCTGCAGGATGTGGGGGCCATACACAACTCTACCGGAGGGTCAAATGTCTTTGCATGCCTCCATAGGTTGTTTTTCTATTGCAAATTTCTATTTTCAATTGCATTATATTTCTTGGAATCACACTGTCACTGATATGTCGCCAGACTTCTGATATCTCCCCGTCTGCTATAGTTGTCCTGTGAATAAATAATAGGAAATTGAGATTAGACGAATAGTTGAAAGTTTAGCTTTATGTCGGCTTAATTTCTTGATTGATATACTTACTATTTCTGCTATTGCCTCTTGTGCTGCAAGAGTCTCACAATGCTTAGACAGGTTTGTCCACAACTTTCACATCTGAAGAAAGAGAGGAGATTTTTTAATTTTCGTTAAGAATAAATAAAGCAGTCTATATGATTCAGAATGGAAAAGCTAATAAATCCAATATCTCATGTTTTATTTAAAAAATATTTTACTGAATTTGGTATATAAACCAACTAATAAAAGGGTTTAGTCAGAAAATTACAAGCATTCGTGGCTCCAAATACTTGAGAAATCAGACTATACAATATAGACCGGTATGAGTGAAATGTTAGGTGAACTTGTTAACACTTTGATTCAATACGCAAATAAAAGTGAATGCGTAATAGTATGTTACAATGAGCAGCAATCAACAATGAGTATATATCCTCACTGATTAAAAAAATCTAACTGGTGGTGCATGAACTATTTGAAATCATAAGGGGTAAGTAAATATGTAATTTCGGCAAATGAGCAACTACGTACCGTACTGAATTAATAACTTCGTAGTATTTGACAAAGGCTGACTTTCCCACATGTACTTAACAGTGCGATGCCCGGGTGTGATATACAACAATAGTATTCACCTTACCTTTTACCGATTTCTTTTTACCCCAACTTTCAAAAATATCATTAAAATCGACAACAACTGTCAAAGCAGGCACGAACACCATTCGTGCTACGCCTTGAAAGCAGCACACATCCGCTCGTTTTCGTCTCGTCAAGTATGTGCATTGGGGCGTGCTATCGAATACGATCTTCGGACAAAAATGCCGGAGTTGCGCATCATGTTGTTTAATGTCATTGCTTCAACTAAGTCATCAGAAAGGATTGTGTCATCGTTCTTCGAATCGAGATTCTCAAAACTGAATGGCACATCCTTAGGAGTTGATTCCGATATGGATTTAGTCTTTTCAAGTTCCAATTGCTTGTAGTCAGATTGTACAGTTTCAGGGAAACGCGCCAGATCACTCGTTGAAACCGTAGATTCTCGACCATCGGGATAACGAATTAACGAGTATTTGGTGTTAGCTTCCAGAAGCTCAACTTCTTCACAAATCGGGTCGCTTTTCGCTCGTACAAACTTGCGAAGGAGTACTTTACCGCCATTCAATAGTCAGTCTGGTACGGAGTTTCCAATCATAGATCGTCTTTCAAAATTGAACATGCGATTATGTGGCGTAGTACCAGTGGAGGTGCAAAGAAGTGATCTTGTCGCATGTAGAGCGTCTGGCAGAACTTCCTCCCAAGCACTCTCGGGCAAATTTCTTGATAACAGCATTAGTTTGATAGTTTTCCATATGGTCTGGTTTGCCCTTTCGCACTGGGAATTCCCTTTCGGGTGATAAGGAGTTGTATTGCTAGTCGCTATACCCTTTCTTGCAAGAAACTCTCTCAGTTCATTAGCCAAAAATGAAGTTCCTCTGTCGCTGTGAACATACTCCGGTAGACCAACCAATGAAAATAATGATGCGAGACATTTAGTGACAGTGATTGCAGTCATGTCTGCACATGGGTATACAAAAGGAAATCTACTATACTCGTCTAATACCACGAGCAAATATCGCCTTTTTCCTGCGACGGGACCTTTAAAATCAATACTAATTCTCTCCCACGGCCGAGTAGCTTTGACCAAGTGATGGCTCCCATCGAATCTATAAAAATTGGGTTTTATTTGGGCACATTGTCGACAATTAGCGCATTCTCTCTTCACATCGTCAACAGAAAAGGGCAAAGATTTAGAGCGAATGAAATGAAGTAATCGACGAACACCAGGATGGCCCAATTGAGAATGAACTTCTCTTAGACTCATTGTACAACAAGCGTTGCTAGCACAAATTCTTGACAATGCGTCTGGTGCCACATTTTCTACACCTGGGCGATGGACAATTTCATAGTCAAATATGGAAAGTTCTAGTTTCCACAATTGTAACTTTGTATTCTTAATTTTACTTTTATGATTTTTCCGAAAAATGTATGCCAAAGCCTTTTGATCAGTTATCAGTTTAAACTTTTTCCCATGCAAAAGATATCCCCATTTTCTTACAGCTTCAACAATCGCCGCCGCTTCTTTTCTACGGCCGGATGCCTTAATTCCGACTTACCGAGTGTTCGAGAGTTAAAGGCAACCGGCCTTCCTTTTTGACTCAATATGGCTGCAATCGCAAATTTAGATGCATCACACTCAATAACAAACGGTTCATCTTCATATATGCACCCCAAGCACGCTTTTAACAAATCAGCTTTCAGTTGATTAAAAGATAAAGCTTTGCCTTTGAGGGGAAATGATGTATTAGTTGAAAGTGGCTTTAATTTTTCAGAAAATTTAGATATCCATTTCGAATAGTAGGCAAATAATCCCAAGCAACGTTTCAAATTACTTCCATTTCTAGGTGGTTTAAGATTAATAAGAGGTTGTAAATGATCAGGATCTGGCCGAATTTTGCCATGTGATACCAAATGCCCAAGGAATTTCAGTTCAGTCACTGAAAATACAGACTTATTTATATTTAATGTCAAACATTGCCGCTCCGCAGCATTCATAAAAGCTTTCAATCGTTTATCATGTTGTGGTTGATCATCCCCAAAAATTGTGACGTTATCTAAGTAAGCAAGGGTGCCTTCAAGATTTTCACGCTCGATGAAAGAGTCCATGTATCTCTGAAACACAGCCACTCCATTAGTCACTCCAAAAGGGACCCTGCAAAATTGATATAAAGAGCCAGCAGCTTCAAACCCAGTGTAAGGTTTGTCAACGTCAGAAATAGGAATTTGGTGATAAGCCGAACGTAAATCAATGGTACTGTAAATCTTTCCTTTAGCAACCTCGTTAATTATATTGTTTATGCGAGGCAAGGGATACGCGTCAAGAGCAGTGTATCTATTTATTGTTTGTGAATAGTCAATAACAAGACGTTTTTTTATGTCTTTGGTCTTTTGTGACCAATACTTGAGCGCGCCACGGCGACTCTGACCGTTCTATGATGCCCTCCCGCAACAAACGAGCAATCTCCTCTTTGATGAACTTTAGATCATCGGAACTGTAGTTTCGGGACCTGACAGCAATTGGCTTACAGTTATCGTCAACAAATCGAAAAATACGTAAAGGTTCACTTACTTTTGCGCTAGCCAAATTGCAGACCTCTTTACCAACGTACAAGAAGTCGAGGTCTCCGTTGAATTCGAAGACAACCTTTCGATGTTTGCTCAAAAAATCTTGGCCCAGTATGATGTCCGTACACAGATTTTCCACAACACCAAACTTCATTGCATCATAAATTCTCGTTCCAATCTTTAGCGGTGCGTCCACAAACCCAATGGTTTGTGCAACTGATTCGTTCGAAGCAAGTGCAATTACAGTTTTTGGACCGTAGAGAGTGAGGCCAAGACTTCTTGCCACAGATGCCTTTATGTAACTCTGTGAAGCACCGGAGTCTAGCAGAGCCATCAGAGGGTTTTCCGCAATTTTAGCAGTAATCGTCGATCGTGACAACGAAGTATGAATACCAGCTATAATTGAAGTCAGGTGCAAATCGTTTACGGTAGCAACCGATTTCTTCGCTTTACGACAAACTGTTGCAAAATGTCCTCGAAGACCACAATTAAACTCTGCGTTTCTAGCAGGGCACTTCAGTCGATTTAAAGCATGAATTCGTCCGCAAAAATAACACCTTCTACGGTTAACTTTTGTTTCGTAAGTACTTCTTGCAGCAGCTACGTGTTGGTCACTATTAGAGCCAAACTCAGAAAATTGGTCTTCTTTGTTTACCGAAAATTTATCATCCATTGAAGTAACGGCTGCTTGATGAGGCAATGATTGCTGGTACGAATGCGAAAATTTCTCGGCTCGTTCCAAATAATCAGCAATTTGAATGACTTTTTCCAGTGATAATTCGTCATATTCTAGCAATCTTTGTCGAATATTAGCGGAACATAGCCCTGTTATAAGCGCATTTCTTAGCGCCTCCTCTGTGTTGCTCGGCGCTGACTGCTTTGAAATTACAATCTTTCGCAAGCGACCTGAGCGCCTGGGAAAATTCGGAGATAGTTTCACTGCTCAACTGAATCCGTGTGGCCAGCGTGTGCCTTGCATATATGATATTCTTCTTTCTTTGATAATGTTTGCGCAAAATCACCATACCTTCATCATACACATCCACATCTTCCACAAAGGAAAACACGTCAGGTGATAAATATCCACCCATGATAGCACATTTGTTGATTTGCCTTGAAACATCTTCCGTGGATCTGTTGGATTCCACAGCTGTTAAGTAATTTGTAAGCATTCTGTCCCAATGGGAAAATATTTTTAGAGCTCCAACTTCATTCGGCAAGACATCAATCAAGCACTGGCACCCGAATAAGTTTCTCGTCGGAAGTTGCCATTGCTTTCGGAAAACCAGTCAATCGTTTCAAGTTTAAGTTTTGAGCTACTAAAATTGAGGCGAACCTAATACAGAAAGAAACAAACTTGTATACTAGGCTTTTATTAGCTCAAACGTCGACTAAGAGTCTTAAAGCAGCACAAACCAAAGAATGACTTTCAAAATCAAAACACCATGCTACTAAAGGACGAACAGTATACGTCAGCAGGGTCAAATGTCGTGGCTGTTTTAGGCGTTGCTAGATTTCAATACATAAATCACCACAATATTCAATATGTTAATTCTTATATGAAATAAATTTTCATACAAGCAATGCGATCCATCATGCATTTTCATGGAGGCGATGACCAACTGATGAATACCCTGACCCTATATCAGATTCTTGTCGCCCAACAAAAAAGCACCATCAAATTGAGAGGTAAGGATTACTTAAACCATAATTTAACTTTGGATCATAATTTAACAGGATCTGTCACCAGATACTTCATTTGATACAGAGACATGTAAATCTGACGAAAGTGAGAAAGGATTGTCAGGGATCCAACCAGATCTGCCCCCAGACTCTTTAGTTGAAACTACCTCAAGTGCCGCTGATGAAAAAGACAGCGCTTTGTCAGACAGCAGAAAAATGTAAGCAAGCATCATCATCATTTTATTTTGGTTCTCTGGCATAAAACAACACAAAAAGTCAACATACAAACAAAATGCAGAGAAAAGTGGAAGTCGGGCATAACTTAAAATAGATTTCAAAAAGTACGCGACTACCTACCAGAAAAAGAAATAATAAAAGGGCACGAAAGAATTAACAAGATTCGGAAATCGGAACTGCAACTGCAAAGTCACACCAAGCTGCTCCTGATACCAGAAGTTGGCCCTGCACTTGGTAGTAACTGTGGTCTGTGGTGAATATCCTTATTTTGTTAGGTTGTTTTGCATTTATCACTGTCATATAAATCACAATTTGTTCATAATCACCTGATAACTTTAGAACCGAACCAAGTGGTGGGTGTTTGCCCATCTGACTATGGGCTGACTATATAACAATGAGGTAGTGCCCAGTGAGGGCAATTCTTCCGTATTATCAGGGGATGAAACCAGGCAGCTTTAATAAAATAACTCAGACGCTCCATTGCTTTCATGTTTGTTGTGCCCCAAAGCATATATCTGGTGTGTATTTTTATCCTATACAACACAATATCTGCAAAACTGTATAATTTGTAGTAATTTTCTTGGATTTACTTGCTTGTTCCTTCATCATATATTTTTTATAATCTGTTATATTCTATTTCTACACTGAATGAATAAACTATATTGTAAAACCTATCACATAACCGACTGTTTTTGGTTGAACCGGTATGATTGGAACTCTGGCTCGATCTAACTTTGTGGGATTAGCACCAACTACAGACGACAAAATTGTTGGATATATTTTTGTTCCCTCCATATAGGTTGTTACCAATACTGGGGAAGGCTTGTACATGCTTGGCTCAGCGGAAATCTTTTATTCCCCTCAATTTCATCTGTTGGATAGTCTTGGTTAGTCCATTTAAACCATGTTTATCACTACAACATTATTGGTCTTGTAATTTTATGTGGTATGTAATCGATCATAATACCTCAATAAACCTGTTGAATCTAATCTTTCAATAGTATATTTGCACCCATCTTACTGAGCTTATAAATCTGTGTTTCTATGATACGACATAAACTTAAGTGCCTTCACTGTGCCTAGCATGTACAAATTGCATCAGAGACTTGGTGACTATCCAGCGACACCACTATTTGAAGATGATGTGGTGGCAGAGAATCCTGAACTTATCTATAGCACTTGGCTTTGAAATCTAGCGTTGAACCAAGATTGACGACTGAACCATCATGAATGTATCTGAAAAAATATTCACCTGTTCAGAATTACAGATTTCTGTAGTTTGTGCAATGTTACAAGAATGTATCTAAAAGACTTTTGAACTGCACCTGCATTTCATTTGTTTCTATTCTAATCCCACCAATTATTTGGAAATAATAGGCTCTAATTTGGGGAATGAAATGTTCTCGCCCACCTCTTCATGCACCCAATTCTGGCAACTTTGGTTGGGCAACTTGGCATTTGACTCCAACTATAATCAGCTTGGCAAAATGTTTTCAATAGAATCTTTTTTTATATTTTAATTAACGATTAGAAGATCGATCAATTTGGCAATGGCAACCATTACAAATATATCAATATGGTGTGGCAAATACTTTTTTTATTTTCTAGTATTTATTTTTATTTTTCGTTTACTGTATAGTATACCCTAAATTTATCGCGTTTTATTCTTACTTAAATAACTTCTCAGTGGTTGTGTGTGTGTGTGGCTGGTGGGTGCATGTGAGCGTGTGTGAAATAACTTAATAATTTTAGGTGAGTAAACACGTACCACTTCCTCTTGGCAAAACCTTCCATCTTATATTTGGTACGTTATAAACCTTATCTAAGGTTTCGTTTGCTCCCCTGATTTCATAATCAGTTTTTTTATCTGTCAAATGTATTGTCATGCTGATTATGGAGTCGAAATAAACTTATACTTATAAACTTATACAATTCAGCCCTAACTTGGACGCTATCTATCAGTCTATGAACTATGGGATATGGTACCGGTACCGTACCGGTAGTCACGCAGGTCTCCCAGTCCTATCACCACCCTCTGACATTCTTCAACCATATAAGTTTAAATATCACCTTTCAATGAAAAGTTTTGTATCCTTCTCCTACTGGGGGAAAGAAAAGTTCTTGGAGAACCAAGTCATAGAAAAGTCATCTCTGGGTGATTCCATTTTTGTATGTTAAATAAGCTTTCAGAACTAAGTTAGGTACGTTAACGGCATTGTGAAGGCGGAATAACGTTAATAATAGATCACCTGACAATATGTTATAACTTTAGAAGCACGAAAATACCAGTGCAATGCCATTCGAAGGCCTTTAAAACGAGCAACGTACCACTCTATCGCCCTACACAAGCCTGAATATTTGCAATGTTTGTCTGAGCGACCGAAATCATAACAATAAAGGTCAAAGGTCGGGGAAAGGTCCATTGCAAAATTTTCGGGGCTATTTTAAGAGTGCTTTTGCGAGTTGGCGCCTGTGAAATGTGTTACAAACCATCATTATGATTCATCGCATACAACAATCTTTTTTTTAAAAGTACCGGTAAAGAATTTCAAGCTAGTCTATCACACCTATTTCTACACTAATTTTTATTACTGCAATCAAATTAAAACTCCTAGGAAGACAGAATGATCATTGAATTATCTGATTTATATTTAAGTTTCCGAAACACAACTGAAAACTAACGAATAGAGTTCAAAAACGCGAAAACGAGGTAATGTTTACAACCACACTTGAAAATCTGTCTGAGAAAAGTGTCTGAGCGGATGCGAAAAGGGGGCATTGTTACGTCACTTTTTGCATCTTGCTGATTGGCCAATGTCACGAAGTAAACAAGGAAAACGATGCTCGGGGAAAGGTCCATAGATAACACATACTTAAATGTGATATTTTCATGACAATATTTTGCCAATAAACAACTTATTCTGTGATATATAAAAACTAACTTATGTTTTATTTCAAGGTACAACTTCTACAACTCAAGTTAAACATGAAGAGCAGATTTTTTCAAGAGATTTTTTTTCAACACCATGGGATAAATCTGTTAAAACAATTTTTCATTTTTAGGCAGAGATATTAGTGTGGAGAAAATTGTAGTGGAAGATCATTGCAGCCACAGCCAGACTTAGGCTTGCAGGTAATTGACAAAAATCAATTCCGTAAATACGGTCAAATCGATTACGTAATGACCCCGTAATTGCGATATTTTTTCTCACATTTAAACCTATCATAACAACCAATTTAATCCACTTCTATTCCGAATGGGACATCGAAGTTTGGTTTTCATATTCCCGGCAGTACTACACGCCGGCGTCAGATGTTAAAGACAAATATCAAGGAGTGAATTCAAAATAATTTTATTCTGATTTTTATCTTTTGTATTAGCTTTGATTTTTTTTATCCACTTTATCACCAAATTTTATGCGATCAATTTTATCATTACCAACACTGGTAATATATTTAAGAAACGATAGTTCACTTCTTTAAAATCGTATTAACGTATTAATACGACTTTCGTATTAAATAAAAATTCCGGAATGCTAATTTATTAATCAACTACAAGCGTATTCTCTCGTTTGATTATACTTTCACTTGCCTCGCGACGAAGACTTGTTATTTCACCGTTTTTTTACAATATCCGACTTTACTACTTAGTTAGCATTTTATAATAATTATTGATGTCGACTTATTGACGATATTCCGAATTCCATGCTTTATTTTACATTAATTCATTTTGCGGCCTAAAAGTTATAATATTATTTGCGATAAATTTAGATCAAATATTAATTATTTGCGCATTATTTAAAATACCGGACTTATATGACATGCCTTCTCCGAAAATACAAAGTTATATCGCAAAACAATGCATTTTGTGACATTTATTTTGCACTCATGAAAATATTAATTTATTTTTTTAACTCAAGTCGACAGTCCTATTTGCCAAGATTGACACAAGTTTGGTCGAGTGCCGGTGGTATTCGAGTCGACGATAAATCAAAATAAGTTGCCGCATTTGGTAAAGACAGGTAATCATATTTGGACGACATATTGCGAGCCATTGTGAATAACATATTGAGCAATGCCAAGTCCGGACAGATATATAACGATAAAATCGGTAACAGAACATCAAGATTTTGTAATAGAAAATGTATCTCGCGCAGAATAAACACGGGAAATCCCGTCGTATTGTTGTTTCTCTGCCGTCTTAATCGCTTTACCGATGCCGAAAAGACTAAGCGCGACATTAATTATCACG